GGAACGCAGACGCATCGCCGACCTTCCCCGTCCACAGCAAGGCTGGGGAGGTCTCCGGCCTGGAGACCCTGGGGTGAAGGTTGATTTTATGCGCCGCGTACCGAACCGCAAACGGCCACAGAAAATGGGGGGCAGCCGCATGCATCATGGACGTACGAGCGACGTCCATGTACATGCCAATGCGGCGCTCAGCAATCCCATTTTGCTGTGGAGAGTCCGGAAGCGTAAAGGTCTGGCGGATGCCTCACGCACGACAGTAGGCTCGCAGAAGGTTAGAGGAGAACTCTCCGCCTCAATCAGAGTGCAGACGCAGAACAGGAAAGTCCGAGCCGAAGCTCCTCCTGAGCTGGAGACGAGCTGCGCGGATCCAGTCGATCAACACCTCAGTGATATCACCCTTGCCGTGCAAGGGGAAGACCGCGGTGTAACGCGAGTAGTCGTCAACAACGAGCAGGAAGTAGCGCTCGTGACCCTGTCCACGGACGCGGGCTGGGCCCCACACGTCCATGTGAAGCGTCTGCAGCGGGGCCTCTGTCGGGGGAAACTGAGAGGAGTGAAGGGCAGCCCGGAGCCGCCCCTCGACACAGGGGACACAGGAAGGACCAGGCCCCGGAGGAAGGGGAGGGAGGGACCGGGGAAGACCAGAGACAAGGACACGGGAAGCCATGCCTCGGAGACGAGACAGGGAGGGGTGACCAAGACGGTGGTGCCAGAGGAGAGTCTCGTGAGACAGGAGGCGACACGAGCAAGGGGCAGACTCAGGACCAGACCTGGACGCTGCAGCAAACACCTGACCCGACGCAGCTACCTGGCCAGAAGCAGGGACAGGAGGGGACCCAGTGGTCAGGGTGTAGAGGCTCGACCCCGGCCGACGCGAAAACGTGGCCAGGTGTCGGCCCGTGCGTGCGTCCGAGCAGTGGGTCACCCGCTGACTCGCAGGAGTAAATTGGTGAGCCCCCGCATCCTGCAAGTCAGCACCACTCACCAAGTTTGTCGAGAACGAGGGGAGGTAAAGACCAGACAAGGTGCCAGAGGGGGCAGCCGGACACGGGAGGACAGTGGAGAAGTGAGAGAGGACAGGACCCCCAGAGGGGTCTGCCAGGGAGACTGCAACCGGCCGACCAAGCGGCTTGGGTGTGGTGCGGTCTCGAAAGAAGGAGCGAGAAGCCCCCGAGTCAAGAGTGAAGGTGAGGGAGGCCGAAGCTGACGCGGTACCTGAGAGCGCAGCCTCACCAATACATGAGGGCGTAGACGCGCTGGCACCTAGAGCAGCAGCCTCACTAGCACCTAGCGCAGCAGTACCAATGCCCGGGTCGGGCGGGAAACACGGTAACAGTCACCCTCATCACTAATAGTCACAGCATACATGGCAGCAAGGATAGCATCAAAGTCAAGATCACAGAAAGTGACACCTGCCCTAGACAGCTCTCCCCAGCGGGGGATCTCACTAGCCTCGTGGAACTGCTGACGCCAAGCGTTTGTCAGGCGGCCAAAGCAGCGCTGGGTGGGGTGGGCACCCCCACACTGCTCACCCGCGCGGTCGCCGGAGCAAAGGACGTAGGTGCACGGGCCAAAACCCCCACCACGCTGACGCTGCGTGTACCACTCATGGAGCTGCTGAGGAGGGGGGATGTCCCGAGAACGCTGCTGCTGCTGCTGTTGCTGGCGCTGACCACCACCGGAGCCGCTCCGCTGCGAAGCACCACCCCGACCAGCTCCACCTCCTCCACCACCGCCGCCTCCGCTCCCACCGCTACCGCCTCCGCCGCCTCCGCCTCCGGTGCTGCCACCGACACCTCCACCCCCGCCACCACTCCCACCGCCACCCCCACTCCCTCCGCCGCCTCCACCGCCACCTCCACCACCCCCACTAGCTCCACCCGCGCCCTTGCCCCCCTTGCCCTTGCCAGAGCGGCGTCTCCCGCTAGGGGCAGACGCCGCACTGACCGACTCAAGACCAACGAGGTCGTCCGCAGCAGCAGAGGCGACAGAGGGCAACAGGGGGGAAGGGGAACACCCCTCAAAGCTGGGGGTGCGAGGGTCACCACGAGAGGCTCCTACAGCGACTATGCTCTTCTCCGCTGCTAGGAGGGCCTTCTCTAGGAGGTCAATAGTGAGAGTGGTGGGACAGACTGAGAGGAAGTGGTCCCTGACTACGCGAAGGGAGTCAGGGAAGCGGGTGACTATATAATAGAGAGTGATGTACATGGGGGGGGGGTTCTTGGCGCAGAACTCAGCAGGAAGCGCGGCGCGGTAGCGAGTGTCACTAGTGCGGAGGTGCGTAATGAGGTCAGCGATTGTGGGAAAGGCAGCAAGGTCAAGAAAGAGGTACGGTAGCATGAGGCGGCTCAGTGCAGCAGTGGCAGGGGAAGAGTAGCGTGCAACTACAGCGTCGTACAAGGTCTGAGCACTCTTGTACTGACTAAAGTGCGCGCGCTCAGTGGTAGGCAGGTGGCGACGCACAGCAAGACGTGCAGCAGCATCGCGCGTGGCTTACTAGGAGCGAACAGTGGGGTCAGCATCAGTAGTAGGGGCAGGAGAGAAGCCAGAGGTGAGGTCAAAGAGGGAGAGACCGTCTGCCCTATCGCACTGTAGGAAAAGCTGCAGGTCAACTACCCAAACCTCAAAGTCAATGGCTCGACCCTCAGCGTCAAAAGCGAGAACACTGGGGTTAGCCATGACAGCAGTAGACTAGTAGTACCAACTGTAGGACAGGGGCAGTGCAGTGACAGAAGCGCTGCTCTCACCAGACAGGGCGGGTCGGGCAGCTCATTAGTACAGCAGCACGGCAACACGGCTGCTAGGACGGCACAGCAGCAACTGCGGCTCCGTGGCACCAGCGGCTCGGCTCCTCAGGCGGCTCGGGCGGCTCAGGCGGCTCGGGTGGCTCATGCGGCTCGAGCGGCTTGGGCAGGTCGGGCGGCTCGGGCGGCTCGGGCAGTTCGGGCGGCTCGGGCGGCGCGGGCGGTGTAGGGCGGCAGGGCCGCTGGTGAAAGGGGCGGCGGGGCCGCAGTGAAGGGGCGGCAAGGCCGCTGGTAAAGGGCGGCGGGGCCACTGAGAAGGGCGGCGGGGCCCCTGTGAAGGGCGGCGGGGCCGCAGTAGAAGGGCGGCGGGGCCGCTGAGTAGGGCAGCGGGGCCGCTGAGAAGGGCGGCGGGGCCGCAGTAGAAGGGCGGTGGGACCGCTGAGTAGGGCGGCGTAGCCGCAGCGAGAGAGGCGGCGGGGCCGTAGTGAAGGGCGGCGGGGCCGCTGAGTAGGGCGGCGGGGCCGCAGCGAGAGAGGCGGTGGGGCCGCAGTGAAGGGCGGCGGGGCCGCTGAGTAGGGCGGCGGGGCCGCAGCGAGAGAGGCAGCGGGGCCGCAGTGAAGGGCGGCGGGGCCGCTGAGACGGGCGGCGGGGCCGTTGAGACGGGCGGCGGGGCCGCTGAGACGGGCGGCGGGGCCGCTGAGACGGGCGGCGGGGCCGCAGCGAAGGGCGGCGGGGCCGCAACGTGAGGCAGCGAAGGGCGGCGAGGCCGCGAAGAAGGGCGGCGGGGCCGCTGAGACGGGCGGCGGGGCCGCAACGAACGGTGGCGGGGCCGCAGCGAGGGGCGGCGCGGCCGCAGCAAAGGGCGGAAGGGCTGCGAAGAAGGGCGGCGGGGCCGCAATGTGGGGCGGCGGGGTCGCAGCGAAGGGCGGCGGGGCCGCTGAGAAGGGCGACGAGGCCGCTGAGAAGGGCGGCTCGAAGAGGTGAGAGCTCGGAGCGCGACTCCGGCTGAGCGCGCTTCGGGCAGGAAAAAAAGATCGATGTGGTGGGCCCTAGGCACAGTTCCCACGGGGGAACCTGCTCGATACCATGAGGAAAGTAGAACGAGAATGATGCACTAAGAAAAAGAATGTGGTACAACTATGCAACCCTAGAAATGTGTACCCCATATAGGCTACCCCACTATAGCCTACACAATATTATAATTCGACAGTGACATTGTGATCCACCCTGAGCTTGTACTGCTTTGCTTGCTCTGCTGATTACACCCCACTTAGGCTATGGGGGTGTGTCAGAATATTATGCTCTAGCCTGTAGTGGGGTGCTCTATAGCGAGTACAGCCCTTCTAGGGTTTGCTATTTGTATCCTCATTCTTGTTAGTGCAACCCTCTTCTTTCTTCTAAACTTTGACAAGGCTCGTCTGCGTCTACCTGGGACACACTTGACGGGGCAGGACCCTGAGAGGGGAGAGGGTCTACCGGGGCGGGACATGGCGTAAGGAAGAGCGGCGGCACGGGGAGGGGCGCAGTGCGGTAGGGGAAGAGACGGTAGTAAGGAACCGACTCGTCAAAGGTGACATCCCGGGAGGACTGAAAACGACGCGAGGTGGGGTGGTAAAACTGCCAACTAGGCGCGTCAGGGGGGAAGCCAAGGAAGACGCAGGGAACAGCACGGGGGGACAACTTGTCCGCAGACAAGTCGCGGACAAACGCCCGAGATCCCCAGACACGGAACACATATGCATTGCCAACCTTCCCCGTCCACCGCAAGGTGGGGGAGGTCTCCGGCAAGGAGACCCGGGGCTGAAGGTTGATCTGATGCGCTGCGGATCCCTGTGCACGACAGAAGGCTCCCATAAGGGCTGAGGAAAACTCCTCGCCTCTGTCAGAGTGCAGACGCAGAACAGGAAAGTCCGAGCCGAAACTCTCTCTGAGCTGGAGACGAGCTGCGCGGATCCAGTCGATCAACACCTCAGTGATGTCACCCTTGCTGCGCAAGGGGAACACCATGGTATAACGCGAATAGTCGTCAACCACCAACAGGAAGTAACGCTCGTGACCCTGGCCACGGACGCGGGCGGGGCCCCACACGTCCATGTGAAGAGTCTGCAGCGGAGCCTGTGTCGGAGGAAATTCAGAGGAGTGAGGGGCGGCGCGCTGCCGCCACTCGACACAGGGAACGCAAGTAGGGGCAGGCCCCGGAGGGAGGGGAGGGAGGGACCGGGGGAGACCATAGACAAGGTAACGGGAGGCCATGCCTCAGAGACGAGGCAGGGAGGGGTCACCAAGGCGGTGGTGCCAGAGGAGAGTCTGGTGGGACACGAGACGACACGAGCAGGGAGCAGACTCAAGAGCAGACGAGGACGCCGCACCAAACATCTGACCCGACGCAGCTACCTGACCAGACTCAGCAACCGGAGGAGACTCAGTAGTCAGTGTGTACAAGCTCGACCCCGGCTGACGGGTAAACGTGGCCAAGTGTCGGCCCGTCTGAGCACACGTACAGTGGGTCACCCGCTGACTCGCAAGAGTGAACTAGTCAACCCCCCCATCCTGTAGATCAGCACCACTCACCAAGTTTGTAGAGAACGAGGGGAGGTAGAGACCGGACAGGGTGCCAGAGGGGGCCGCCGGACACGGTAGGACAGTGGAGAAGCTAGCAAGGACAGGACCCCCAAAGGGGTCCGCCAGGGAGACCACAACTGGCCAACTAAGCGGCGTAAGCGTGGTGCGGTCTCGAAAGAAGGAGCGGGAAGCACTCGAGTCAAGGGTGAAGGTGTGTAAGGCCTGAGCCGACGTGGTACCTGAGAGAGCAGACTCACCATTACCTAGGGCAGCAGACGCACTAGCACCTAGAGCAGCAGCCTCACCAGCACCTAGAGAAGTAGCGTCAATGCCCGGGTCTGGCGGAACACACAGGTAACAGTCACCCTCATCACTAGTAGACACAACATACATGGCAGCAAGAATGGCATCATAATCCACATCAAAGATAGCAGCCCCCGACCTAAGCAGCCCACCCCAGCAGGGGATCTAAGTGGCGTCAGAGAACTGACACGCCAAGCGTTCGTCAGGCGGCCGAAGCAGCGTTGGGTGGTGTGCGGGCCACCGCACTGCTCACCAGTGCGGTCGCCGATACGCAGGACGTAGGCACAAGGACCAGCACCCCCACCACGTTGACGCGCAGCGTACCACTCACGAAGCTGCTAAGGGGGTGGGGTGTCACGAGTGCGCTGCTGCTGCTGGCGCTGACCACCACCGAAGCCGCTCCGCTGCGCCGAGCCACCCCGACCAGCTCCACCTCCATCGCTGCCACCTCCGCCACCGCCGCCACCGCCTCCTCCTCCGCTCCCACCGCCACCGTCGCCGCCGCCTCCGCCTCCACCGCCGCCATCGAAGCCCCCACCCGCGCCACCACTCCCACCGCCACCCCCACTCCCTCCGCCGCCTCCATCGCCACCTCCACCGCCCCCACCAGCCCCTCCAGCTCCCTTGCCCCCCTTGCCCTTGCTAGTGCGGCGTCTCCCGCTAGGGGCAGACACAGCGCCGACTGACTCGGTGCCAACGAAGCCGACGGCAGCAGCAGAGGCAAGAGAGGGCAAAAGGGGGGAGGGGGAGCACCTGTCAAAGAAGGGGGCACGAGGGTCACCACGAGAGGCTCCTACAGCGACTATACTCTTCTCAGCTGCCAGGAGGCGCTCCTCTAGGAGGTCAACGGTGAGTGTGGTGGGGTAAACATAGAGGAAGTGGTCCCTGACCGAGCGAAGGGAGTCAGGGAGCCGGGTGACTTTGTAGTAGAGGGTGATGTACATGGGGGGGGGGTTCTTGGCGCAGAACTCAGCAGGAAGCGCAGCGCGGTAGCGGGTGTCACTAGTGCAAAGGTGCGTAATGAGGTCAGCGATAGTGGGAAAGGCGGTGAGGTCAGAGAACAGGTACGGCAGAATGAGGCGGCTAAGGGCAGCAGTGGCAGGGGAAGAGTAGCGTGCAACTACGACGTCGTACAAGGTCTTAGCACTCTTGTACTGACTAAAGTGCGCGCGCTCAGTGGACGGTAGACGGGCAGCAGCATCGCGTGTGGCCCACTGTGAGTGAACAGTGCTGTCAGGATCGGCAGCAGGGGCAGAAGAGGCGCCAGACGTTAGATCGAACAGTGAGAGACCGTCTTTCCTATCGCACTGAAGGAAAAGCTGTAGATCATCGACCGAGACCTCAAAATCAACAGCCCGACCCTCAGCATCAAAGGCGAGAACGCTAGGGGTAGCCATGAATGTTACGAAGAAGAAGTGATTGAACTATGAAAGTTGGAGTACAAGTAGGAAACCCTAACTTTGTGTACCCCCTAAAGGCTAACCCACTATAGCCTACACAATAATAACACATATAGTGTTTGACACACCTCCATAGGTAAAGTGGGGGAGAACAAGGGGTCACAAGACCAGTCAAGAAAGGCAAGCAAGCTCAGGGTGGATCATAACGTCACCACACACTCTGAGCACAAGTAAAGGGCCACAAGGCCAGTTCACATGCAGAGGTATATATAAGTAGTACACCCAGCAAGGGTGATCTCAACCTAGCAGAACAAACGGGCAAGAGTATATATAAAGAGATCACAGTACATGCAAAGCCTAAAACAAGTGAGACAATGTGGGCACTAGCCCCAACAAAGTACAGAAGCGCTGATGATCACCAGGCTGAAGTGCCTTGGTGAAAACATCAGCGGTGTTGGCCTGAGAGGCCACGTAGCGCAGACGAAGCTGACCAAGCTGCTGAAGCTCACGAGCAAGGAAGTAACGGAGAGCGATGTGCTTCGTTCTATGCTCCAGTCTGTGCTCCTGACACAAGGCAATGGCAGCCTTGTTGTCGACGTACAACACTGGAGGAGAACTAGGCCGCTCTCCAAGGTCGGTCAGCAAGTAGGTGAGCCAGCGTAACTCCTGTGCAGCCATGGCTGTGGCGTAGATCTCAGCCTCACAACTGGAGCTGAGAACCGAAGACAAAAGAGTAGAGCACCACGAAACTGAACCAGAGCCAAGGCTGAAGGTGTAACCCTGTGACGACCGCTGAGTAGCCTGGTCGTCAGCCCAAGAAGCGTATGAGTGCCCAGTGAGAACAACTGAGCTCCCTCCTCCAAGCACGAGCCCTATGCCTGATGTACTGCACAAGTAGCGCAATACCCTCATTGCAGCATCCCAGTGCACCTTTCGGTGACGACCAGGAGCCACGTAGCGAGCCAGAAGGCCAAGAAGTTATGCTAGGTCAGGACGAGTGCAATTCATCAGGTACATGAGGCAACCAACTAGCTCTGGGTAAGAACCACTCGACTCTACGGACTCATCCGAAGGCAGAGCTGAGAGCGAGTGACCTATAGCCAGAGGAGTGGCCTGTGCTGAGGACCAGGTGAAGCCGAAGCGCTGAAGGACCTGCTGCACCATGTGTGACTGAGTCAGGGTAATGGTGTGGTGTGCTCTGTCCCGGGTGATCTGCAAGCCAAGGTAGCTGCGCAGTTCACCTAGGTTTGTGCACGTGTGTCTCTTCTGCAGCTAGGACTTCACGTGGGCGAGAGACTCAATGTCAGCAGTGGCAAAGACCAAGTCGTCGACGTACACGAGGATGTAGAACGGCGGCAGTGAAGTGTCTTTGCGTAGAAACCAGTAGAAGGAGAGAACCCAAGTGCCGCAAGAGTTGTCCTCAGTGTGTCGTGCCACTCACGTGTCGCCTGGCGGAGACCGTAGACCGGCCGGCGGAGGCTCCACTGGGTTCCAGGAGGGAACGATCCATTGAAGTCAGGAGGGTGGGGCAGCTAGATCTCCTCGTGCAGACTGCCCTGCAAGAAAGCTGTGCTGAAGTCAAGAGAGTGAAGCTCGTAGTCACGCTGAGCAGCGACATGCAGCAGAACCCGAAGAGTGGTCATCTTCGGGGTCGGGGAGAAGGTCTGGAAGAAGTCAAATCCCTCTCACTAACTGAAGCCTCGAGCAACGTAGCGCGCCTTGAAGACAGGGGGGGAACCCGGCGGCCGCTTCACCCTGAAAATCCACATGCCACTGACGATGTTCGCCCTCGCTAACGCATCGCTAACCTCTCCCATCCAACGCAGTGTCGGGGAAGTCTCCGGCAAGGAGACACGGGGCCAGAGGTTGAGCTAATGCGCAGCGTATCAGACTGCTAACGGCCACAGAAAGTGGGGGGCAGCCGCATGGATCAAGGAGGTACGAGCGACCTCCATGACCAAGCCAATGCGGCGCTCAGCAACCCCATTCTGCTGTGGAGAGGCCGGAAGTGTGAACGACTGGCGGATGCCGTGCTCCGCACAGTAGGCTGCCAAGAGGTCAGAGGAGAACTCACCACCTCTGTCAGAGTGCAAGCGCAGGACAAGAAAGTCCGAGTGGAAACGCTCGCTGAGCTGGAGACAAGAAGCGCGGATCCAAGGGATCAAAACATCAGGGATCTCACCTTTGGTGCGCAAGGGGAAGACCGTGGTGTAGCGCGAGTAGTCGTCAACAACTATCAGGAAGTACCTCTCCTGACCCTGACCACGGACGCGGGCTGGGCCCCACACGTCCATGTGGAGCGTCTGCAAGGGAGCAGTCGTCGGGGGAAACGAGGAGGAGTGAGGAGCAGCGCGCTGCCGCCCCTTGACACAGGGAAGGCAGGGAGGAGACGGCGAGGCTGGGAGGGGAGGGAGAACCCTGGGAAGACCAGAGACTAGGTACTGTTTGTGCATTGCCCGAAGGCGCTGCACGGACGGGTGACCAAGGCGCTGGTGCCAAAGGACTGTCTCGTGCGCCAGAGAGCGGCACGAGCAGGGGGACGACAGCTGACCTGACGCAGACGCAGATGCAGCTACTTGAGAGGACTCAGTAGTCAGTGTGTACAGGTCCAACCCCGGCTGCCGTGTGAAGGTCGCCAGGTGACGGCCCGTCCGAGCACACGTGCACTGTGTCACGCGCTCGTAGGCAGGGGTGAACTGGTGAACACCCCTGTCTTGGAGCGCACTACCTGCCACCAAGTTCGTAGAGAACGAGGGGAGGTAGAGTCCGGACACTGTGCCCGACGAGACAGCTGGATAGGGGAGGACAGTGGAGGAGGTCGCAAGGACTGGACCCCCAGAGGGGTCAGCTAGAGAGACTGCAACGGGCCGAGTAAGCTGCTCAAGAGCCGTGCAGTCACAAAAGAAACAGCGGGAGGCACCTGAGTCTAGTGTAAAGGTGTGCAGTGCCTCAGTCGACTCAGTAACAGGGGACATAGACACACCAGCACCTAGAGCAGCAGCCTCACCAGCACCTGGGGTAGCAGACGCTCTAGCACCTAGAGCGGTAGCCTCACCGGGTCGAATACCCGGGTCGGGCGGAACACTCAGGTACTGGGCACCCTCTCCACTAATAGACATCACATACATGGCAGAGAGAATAGCATCAAAGTCTAGAGCAAAGATATCAATGTTTTGCTTCATCAGATCAGCCCAGCCGGGCAGCTCAATGGCGTCAGGGAACTGAGTACGCCAAGCGTCGTCAAGGCGTGAGAAGCAGCGCTGCGTGGGGTGCGCCCTCCCACACGTCTGACCAGTGCGGTCACCAGTGCGGATGACGTACGTGCAGCTAAGGCCACCACCCCCCCCCGTGCCGAGTGTACCACTCACGGAGGTCCTGGGGCGACGGAGAGTGCTGTAGGCTCTGGCCACCGCCAGTGCCGCCACGACCACCACTGCCGCCACCACCGCCTCGACCACCTCCTCCCCTGCCGCCGCCACGTCCACCGCTGCCTCCACCACCGCTCCCGCCCCTGCCACCGCCCCCGCCGTTGCCCCCACCACCCCCACCGCTGCCACTAGCCCCACCAGTCCCACCACCACCCCCACCGCCGCCACTACCCCCACCACCGCCTCCCCCGCCGTCACCTCCGCCTCCCTTGCCCCCTTTGCCCTTGCCGGTGCGACGCCCGGTCGAGGCAGACGCGGCCCCGACCTTCTCAAAACCAAGAAGGTCGACAGTAGAAGCAGAGGCTACAGAGGGAAGAAGGGGGGAAGGGGAACACCCCTCAAAGAAAGGGGTGCGGGGGTCGCCACGAGAGGCACCTACAGCGACTATGCTAGCCTCAGCTGCAAGCAGTTCCTTCTCGAGGAGGGCAGTGGTGAGCTCAGTGGAGCAGCGAGCTAGGAAGTGATCCTTGACAGCACGCAGAGTGTCAGAGAGGCGGGTGACTAGGTGGTAGAGAGTGAGCCAGAGCGGGGGAGGGTTCTTGGCAAGAAACTCATCGGGCATGGCGGCACGGAAGCGGGCCTCACTAGTACGGAGGTGCGTGATGAGGTCAGCGACTGTGTGGAACGAGGCCAGGTCGGGAAACAGGTAGGGGAGTGAGAGACGGCCTAGCGCGGCAGAGGCAGGTGAGGAGTAGCGGGCAACGACAGCGGTGTACAGTGCCTGTGCAGTCTTGTGCTGGCCTAAGTGCTCGCGCTCGTCTATCGGCAGGGAGTTGCGAATAGCGAAGCGAGCGTGGGCGTCACGAGTCTGCCACTGTGAGCGGGCAGTGCTGTCAGCAGTAGCAGCAGGAGCAGTAGCATGGCCTAGGGCGTGATCGTACAGTGAGATGTCCTCCTTGGCAGTGAGCTGTAGAAAGAGGTGTAGGTCATCTAGCCAGGATTCGAACTTCACTAGGCGGCCCTTAGCATCAAAAGCTAGCACAGGAGGGCTAGCCATAGCAGTAGTAGGAGTAGCAGTAGAGTAGCAGTATTAGTAGTAGGGGCACCCTCAAAACAGTAGGGAGTGCGACTCAGGTAGGGCAGCTCGGTCCAGGACGGGCGGCGCGGCTCGGTTCAGGTAGGGCGGCTCGGCTGGGTTCGGGCGGCGCGGCTCGGTTCGGGCGGCGCGGCTCGGCTCGGGCTGGGCGGCTCGGGTCGGGTGGCATGGTTCGGGCTGGGTGGCTCGGTTCGGGCTCTCAGTTCGGGCGGCTCGTTCTGGCGGGGCCGAGGGTGTCGCGGTGGGGTGCTAAGAGGTGCGTGGGTCGAGGGGGCCGACTGGGCGGCTAAGAGGTGGGCGCGCGCGGGGCATACGGGGCCGACGGGGCCGCTAAGGGGGTCGCGCATGGGGTCGACGGGGCCAGTGGGGCCGCTAAGGGGCGGCGCGTGGGGTCGACGGGGCCGACGGGGCCGCTAAGGGGTGGGCGCGCGGGTCGACGGGGCCTGCGGGGCCGCTAGGGAGGCGGTACGTGGGGTCGACGGGGCCGACGGGGCCACTAGGAAAGTGGGCGCGCGGGACAACCGGGGCCAACGGGGCCTCTAAGGGGCCTCTAGGGGGCGGCTCGTGGGGTCGACGGGGCCTCTAACGGGCGGCGTGCGGGTCACTAAGGGCCTTAAGGGGCCGTGAAAGCGAGGCGCACGAGGGCGCTAGGGGGGGAGGCACTCGAGGGCGCTCCAAGAGTAGGGCGCACAAGGGCGCTAGTAAGTAGCAGTAGTGGTGGGCCCTAGGAATCGGTCCTAGCGGAGGACCTGCTCTGATTCCATGTTACGAAGAAGAAGTGATTGAACTATGAAAGTTGGAGTACAAGTAGGAAACCCTAACTTTGTGTACCCCCTAAAGGCTAACCCACTATAGCCTACACAATAATAACACATATAGTGTTTGACAATGACAGTAGTGGCAGCAGGCTAGGGGCAGTAGCAGTAGTAGCAACAGGAGGGGCACGGCTCGGTGGTGCTCTTATTAGGGCAGGTGGGTAGAGTGTCGCAAGTGGTGGGGCAGGGCCGAGGCGCGTAGGCAGGGACGGGGCCGCTACAGGGCGGCAGAGGAGCGCCGCTCCGCTCTGCATGGCAGGGCGGGGACAGCGGCGGCGGCCCCTGCTGTCGACGGCGACGGCAGTTGCAGGCGGCTGCGGCCCCGGCTGTGGCGACTGCGGCTGCTGCCATCGGCGGCTGCTGCTGCTGTAGGCTGCTGCGGCGGATGCGGCCCCGGCTGTGGCGGCGGCGGCTGCCTGCTGTCGGCGGCACCGGCGGTGGCGGCTCCCGCTGCTGGAGCGGCGTTGGCTGCTGCTGCATGGGCGGCGACGGCGGGGCGGCAGGTCCGTGAGGGAGCCGAGAAAGGGCCGCGGATGAGCCGAGAAGGGGCCGCGGATGAGCCGAGAAGGGGTCGCGAAGGGTGGTGAAGGGGCCACGAAGGGCCGTGAAGGGGCCGCGAAGGACGGCGACGGGGCCGCGAAGGGGCCGTGAGGGGCCGCGAAGGGTGGCGACGGGGCTGAGAAGGGTCGCGAAGGGCGGCGACGGGGCCGAGACGCGCGGCGACGGGGCCGAGACGCGCGGCGACGGGGCCGCGAAGGGCGGCGACGGGGCCGAGAAGGGGCCGCGAGGGGCCTCGAAGGGCGGCGACGGGGCCGCGAAGGGCGGCGACGGGGCCGCGGAGGGCAACGAAGGGGCCGCGAAGGGGCCGCGAGGGGCCTTAAGGGGCCGCGAAGGGTCGTGAAAGGGGTCGTGAGGGGCCGAGAGAGGGGCCGCTACGGGGCCGTAAAGGAGCGCAACGGGCCGCTAAGGGCAGGGGACGCGATGGGAGGGCAGGCACACGGGGCGCGACTCGGGCAGGGGCAAAGCGCGCTCCGGGCAGGAAAAAAAAGGTCGATTTTCGGTGGGCCCTAGGAAACGTTCCCACTAGGGAACCTGCTCTATACCATGTAAAAGAACGAGGAATGAATGCACTGGCAAACAGGTGGGTACAAGTAAGAAAACCTAAAAGTGTTGTACCCCATATTGTCTACCCCACTACAGCCTACACAGACTATAGCATATAAGTTTGACAGGCACTTGTCGTTACGCTGCGTCAATTAGAGCGCGATCAAGATCGCGAACAAGCCCGGCTTTGTGAACCGCACGAAACACATCGCACTCCGTTACCTTTTCGTCAAGGACGAAATCGAGAAAGGCAAGGTCAAACTAAAGTACTGCCTAACTGGTGACATGGCAGCAGACTTCTTGACCAAGAAGCTGTCACGTCAGAAGTTGTAGCACTGCACCGACCTCTGCGGGATCTCGAAGAAATCCTACGTGGCTCACCTTCAGGAATGAAAGGGAGTGTTGGAATAACTGAAAAGGTTATCGTAACATTCCCAAAGGCTCTCCACCCACACGTCACACCATAACGAATCAACGCGTTTGTACCAATACCGCAATAGCTCATATAGAGCATGCGGAAGATCGAGAGTCACCCCAAGGTCAACAATCGAAAGACAGTCAACGGTCGTGAATCTTGACCGTCCAGTAACCGCACTTGGTAGTTACAGGGTGCAACATGGTAAATGTTAAGAAGAGCAATAATCGTGGTTATTCTAGCAATGTAATTCAGTTAACAAAGGAATATACCCCTCAGAGTACATGGCTAGCTATTTTGCTATTTATACATCTGTATACCTATCTTACAATCATCTTGTTTTCTTTGAACTATTATTAACAAGGTCACTATCAAGACATATTTTTTCTCTTAACTCAGCACACTTATCATATCTACTTCAATCCTTTGGTTGTAACAACAAACTATACCATCTACAGACCAGCTCAACTTAGCCTAACGAAGTGCGCAAACGTATGAGTGTTCATTGACAGGTCGACCCATTGAGATGCATTTTGTCCATTAGGGCGTTGGTCAACGGCAAAGATAACCAAATATTCTTTGTGAGATATAAATCTTCTTCAAGAATGCATGTTTGTGTTAGGTTTACGCCGTCCTACCTTTGAGCTGTAGCACTTTGCTCCTGCCCGTCCCCATTTTGTAAAGCGGATTTTTCGTTTTCGCACGTTTCTGACACGAGATGAAGTGCGCTTCATTTTCCATCAGATTTCATAGAATAGTACATCCGTTCCGTGCTTGTCTGAATCGTCCAATAGGCCTTTTTTCTTTCTCTGGTATGCCGAAGCATCCACGTGGCGCGCAACGGAGAGCCAGCGGTCACCCGTGTCCCACCAGCCCCACACCACCCAGGCTTTCCCGCTTCCTCGCCACGCGAAGCGCGTTGCGCCGCGCGACCACGCGACTTGGTAATTGCCCAGCCGTTAGTCTAGAGCCGCCCGAGGTGAGTAGAGGTAATGCGACCGCGCAGCGCGTTTTTCGCTCAGCTACGGTTGCCAGAGCTGCGCCCGCCAGTGCGGCAGTCCCTTCCCCGCGCGTAGTCCCGCCAGTGCGGCAGTCCCTTCCCCGCGCGTAGCCCCGCCAGTACGGCAGTCCCTTCCCCGCGCGTAGCCCCGCCAGTGCGGCAGTCCCTTCCCCGCGCGTAGCCCCGCCAGTGCGGCAGTCCCTTCCCCGCGCGTAGCCCCGCCAGTGGCTGACCGCCTCGCGTCGCTTCGTGGCGCTGCCTCTCCCTCCGCTACCGGATGGAGCCAGGCGGAGGGGGAAGGGGGAGGGGGAGAAAAGGGGCGAGGGGGGGTAGAAGCGGTGGAGGCGCACGAGGGAGGAGAGGCAGTGCGAGGGGGGAGGCGGTGGGCGCGGTGGCGGAGGGGACTGCAGGGGCGTGGTGGGCGATTGGGGGAGGCGCGGAGGGCGGCTATGCGGATGGGGGGGAAGCAGGAAGAATCGCGGCTAGAGGAACGGGATGGGGCGTGGGGGAGGGCGCGGAGGTCGGCGCAAGCGTGCGCGGAGCGGCAGTGGCAGCGCGGGAGGGCGGAGGGACGGGCGGAGGAGTGGGAGCGGTGGGTGGAGGAGGGGGAGCAGCGAATGCAGCGGAGGGATGGACAGGGGGAGGCGCGGAGGGGCGCGTATCCCGCCGCAGGGGAGGCAGGGGGAGAGGCGCGGATGGCGGAGCAGGCGGGAGTACGGTACGCGTAAGCGAGGGCGCGGGGAGGGGGAGGACGAGGGGTGGAACGGGGCAAGCGGACGGCAGTCGCGGGCGGGGGGTGGTGGCGCGCAGAGGGAGGGGCGCAGGTGTGGCGCGCGGACAGGATTGGACGGGGACGGGCGCGCATGCGCATGGGAATGCGCGGATGAGAGGGGGGGACGCCGGCAGGGGGTGGGACGCGGACGGGGGAATGGGGTACCTCGATGGGCGGGTGAGTGGTAGAGAGGCATTGGGAGCGGCGGAAGGGCAGCAGGGGCGTGTGGATTGGGAGGAGTACGGAGGTGTAGCGAGGGGTAGGAGAGTGGAGATGGCATGGGGGGGTGATGGCGAGGAGGAAGGGGAGCGGTGGGATGGGGGGGGCGAGGATTCAAACGCAAGGCAACAGATGGTGGGTGCAGGGCGCATGCACCGTGACCAGCTGCTGCCCCACCTGCAGCAGCAGCAGCAGCAGCGGCCGGAGGAGGAGGAGCAATGGCAGCAGCAGCAGCAGCAGCAACGTCAGTATGAGCAGCAAGAGCAGGTGGAGGGAAGGGGCGGCGAGGGGCAGTTTCGTGGTGCGGCAGGCGGGTGGGCGGAGGGTGGACGGCAGCACGCATGGCAGCTTGGCGGCGGTGGGGAGGAGCTTGGGCGCACCGACGTGGGTGTGGGTGTGGACGGTGGGGGGGATGGGGCTTGGGGGGAGTGGTACGATGGGGAGGGTGTCGGAGCGGCAGAGGAGGACTGGGAAGGAGACGGAGGGGAGTGGGGGGAAGAGGGAGGGGAGGAGTGGGGGGGAGGGGAAGGGGAGGAGTGGGGGGGAGAGGGAGGGGAGGGGGAGGAGGACTATGAGCTGGGCTATGCTGCCGGCCTGGCTGCTGCTCGTGAGGCCCTCAGACAAGCGTCTGCCGCCACTGCTGCTGCACGTGCAGGTGTCGGTGCTGGCGGGGTGGCTGTTGGGGGTGCTGCTTCCATGGGTGGGGCTGAGGGGGCAGCAGGCGGTGCGGCAGGAGGCGGCATGGATCTCATGCTGCCTCACCACCCGCCCGCTGCAGCACCAGGGAGCGCAGCAGCTGCCCTGCACACACCGGATGCTTCTCAGGTGCCCACCGCAGCAGCACCCACAGCACCAGGTGGGGGCGCAGCAGGGGGGGGCGCAGCAGGGGGGGGCGCAGCAGGTGGGGGAGCAGGTGGGCAGGAAGAGGCAGGCGGCGGCGGTGGCAGTAGGCGGCACGGCGGGGGAGGCGGGGGAGGGAGCAGGAGCGGGCGGCGGCGGCACATGGACGTGAGTGTGAAGCGCGACATCTGTGAGCTGCGGCGTGTGCGCCCGGGCATCACGGTGGGGGGGATCATGCGTGTGTGCCGCGCCAAGTACCCGCACATGCGCCTCATCCCCTCGCACGTGCGCCGCATCCTCACCAAGGCGCCCCACTGGAGCTCCACCTTGGCGCAGCGCAGCAGCAAGCGGGTGCGCGCGCCCGAGAGCATGGCGCTGGAGGAGGCGCTCGTGGCGTGGCTGAGGGACATGAAGGGCGGCCCGGGCGCCACCAAGGTGCAGCTGCAGCAGATCTGCGCCAAGGGCCGCGAGCTGGGCCCGTCGTTTGGGGTGTCGCCCTCCTTCAGGTGCTGCCAGGGTTGATGGCAGGGGAGGTGGGTTACTGTGCCATGAGGCGGGGTACTGTGCCATGAGGCGGGGTACTTTGCCATGAGGCGGGGTACTGTGCCATGAGGCGGGGTACTGTGCCATGAGGCGGGGTACTGTGCCATGAGGCGGGGTACTGTGCCATGAGGCGGGGTACTGTGCCATGAGGCGGGGTACTGTGCCATGAGGCGGGGTACTGTGCCATGTGTCCTTCGCTTGCTGCTTCCTCTGCTCCATCTGGCCCTCACCTCTCCCCTTACTGCCGCGTCTCAACACTTTTCAGTGAGCCTACCCTCGCCCTGCCCTTGCAGGTACAGCATTGGGTGGGCGTGTCGCTTCCAGGAGCGGTGGGGGTTCTCAAAGCGGCATGTGGAGGAGGAGAGGGAGGCGTACTTCAATGACGACCCTGCTGCTGCCGCCGCCGCCGCTGCGGGCAGTGCGGAGCCGTCGCTGGTGGAGCTGGCTGATGAGATCTTTGGCGCCCAGCTCCTGGTGGCACGCACGCATGGTGGTGAGGAGGAGGGGGAGGGGGAGGAGGGGGAAGAGGGGGATGAGGAGGGCAGTGAGGAGGATGATGAGGACGAGGGTGAGGAGGATGGAAGGGGTGGGGGTGGGAGGGGAGGAAGGGGAGGGAGGAAAGGGAGGGGAGGGCGGGGAGTAGTGGGAAGGGGGCGTGGGAGGGGAGGTGCGTGGAAGGGAGGGATGAGGGTGGTAGGACGGGAGACGTCACTGACTGCTGGCAGGGAGGTGATCGACCTAGAGGGCGGTGAGGGGGGGGAGAGGGTCGAGGGGGGTGAGGGGGGCGACAGGCTGCAGCGGCGGCGGAGGGGCGAGGGCGGGTCAGAGGAGCAGTCACAGCAGGGCAGGGAGCAGGCAGGTGGGGGGGCAGGCGAGGAGGGCGATGGAGGAGAGGCGGCAGCAGAGGCGGGTGGATGGGCTGGAGGAGTGGACTTGCTGGCAGGCACGGCAAGAGGCGCCGCAAGGGATCGGGCGAGGAAGAAGGCAGCAGGCAGGGCGGTACGCGCGGTGCAGCCGAGTCGAGAGCTGCTGGCGCTGGCACTGGCAGAGGCTGGCGTGGACGGGGAGCAGGCGGGTGCCGGCATGCAGGGAGCAGGTGGGTCTGACTTGGATGATTTAGCAGAGGGAATCAGACGGGCAGCGCCGCCAGCAGGGGCAGCGGTGAGGGGTGCAGCAGCAGCAGCTGGTGCAGCGGCAGTGGGAGGGACGTTGGTGGATGTGGAGGCGGCAGTGGCAGCAGCAGGAGACCTCCGCCTGGACGCCCCCAGCGATGACTCCAGTGGTGGCCACGCCCACGGTGGTGATGGTGGTGATGGTGGTGATGCTGGTGATGCTGGTAGGCGGCATGTGGAGAGGCAGCCTGCTGCAGGGAGGGAGAAGCGGGCGCCGGGCGGGAAGGGCAAGCACCGGGCGGCAATCAGTCTGCGGGTGAAGCGAGTGATCTGCATGCTGAGGGCGGCCCGCCCCGACATGGCGCCCAAAGACATCCACCGCCTCCTGCACCGCGCCTTCCACGCCGCCGCCCGCCCTCCCCAAGGCACCGCCCCTCCCTCTGCCGCCTCTGCCACCGCCGCTGCTGCTGGCAGGGCAGCGAGCTTGGCAGCGGGGGGAGTGGCGGCGGCGGGCGTGGAGGCGGCGGGAGTGGCGGCGCTGGACGTGGCGGCGGTGAGGCGCATCCTGAGGAAGAGCCACGTGTACCTCGCCCTGCCCGCCCACAGCGCCTTCCGCATCCGCCACAGCAGCGGCGCCCACCCCCAGGTGCAGGCGGCCGTGGCGGCGTGGGTGCGCGCCATGGAGGCACGGTACGGGCGAGAGGCGGTGCGGTGGGATGACATTCTGGACTATGCCCGGCAGGTGGGGCCGCACATGGGCGTGCCGGAGGGCTTCCGGTACAGCTACCACTGGGCTCGCAAGGCGCTGCTGCGGCATGGGCTGGGGAGTAACTGGGGCAAGCAGGTGGAGCGGGGCGGTCGGAAGAAGAAGGGGAAGGAGAGAGGAGATGGGGGAGAGATGTCGATTGATGGTAGCACCACTGATGGTAACACGACAGATGGAAACACCACCGACGGGCAGAGCAGTGACGGTGGAGGGACGGACGAGGAGAGGGAGGAGGGGCGCCACTCACTGCACTCTGACCGCCCTGCTGCCGCTGCCGCTCCTGCTGCTGCTGCTGCTGCTGCTGCTGCTGCTGCTGCTGCCGGGCGTGCAGGGCGGGCAGCGGGGGGAGAGGAGCAGCAGGAGGGGCCGCTGGACCGACTGCAGCGCCTGGCGGAGCAGTGGGCTGCTGAGGCACGCACGGCGGGGCAGGCGCATGGGCGCACAGGGGAGGGGGCGGGCGGCAGGCAGCGGCGGTGGCGCCACACGGTGGTGCCGCCCGCTGTGAAGCTCGCAATGTGCGCCCTCGCCCGCGCCCTCCCCTCCCTCCCCTCCAGGGCCATCGCCCGCGCTGTTGGCGCCAGGTGCGTTGTGTTGGCGCCAGGTGCGTTGTGTTGGACTCCTTAATACCCTCACCCACCCCACCTCCTCCCTTCCTCCCTGTTTCATGCATTGCATCCTGGTTGTAATTGATTCATGCATCCTGGTTGTAATTGGTTCATGCATCCTGGTTGTAATTGTTTCATGCATCCTGGTTGTAATTGTTTCATGCATCCTGGTTGTAATTGTTTCATGCTTCCTGGTTGTAATTGGTTCATGCATCCTGGTTGTAATTGGTTCATGCATCCTGGTTGTAATTGTTTCATGCATCCTGGTTGTAATTGTTTCATACATCCTGGTTGTAATTGTTTCATGCATCCTGGTTGTAATTGTTTCATGCATCCTGGTTGTAATTGTTTCATACATCCTGGTTGTAATTGTTTCATGCATCCTGGTTGTAATTGTTTCATGCATCCTGGTTGTAATTGGTTCATGCATCCTGGTTGTAATTGGTTCGTGCATTCTGGTTGTAATTGGTTCATGCTATCTGGTTGTAATTGGTTCATGCATTCTGGTTGTAATTGTTTCATGCTATCTGGTTGTAATTGGTTCATGCATTCTGGTTGTAATTGTTTCATGCATCCTGGTTGTTATTGGTTCATGCATCCTGGTTGTAATTGTTTCATGCATCCTGGTTGTAATTGGTTTGTGCATTCTGGTTGTAATTGTTTCATGCATACTGGTTGTAATTGTTTCACGCATCCTGGTTGTAATTGTTTCATGCTATCTGGTTGTAATTGGTTCATGCATTCTGGTTGTGATTGTTTCATGCATCCTGGTTGTAATTGGTTCATGCATCCTGGTTGTAATTGTTTCATGCATCCTGGTTGTAATGGTTTCACGCATCCTGGTTGTAATTGGTTCATGCATTCTGGTTGTAATTGTTTCATGCATTCTGGTTGTAATTGGTTCATGCATTCTGGTTGTAATTGTTTCATGCATTCTGGTTGTAATTGGTTCATGCATTCTGGTTGTAATTGGTTCACGCATCCTGGTTGTAATTGGTTCATGCATTCTGGTTGTAATTGTTTCATGCATCCTGGCTGTAATTGATTTATGCATCCTGGTTGTAATTGGTTCATGCATCCTGGTTGTAATTGTTTCATGCTATCTGGTTGTAATTGGTTCATGCATTCTGGTTGTGATTGTTTCATGCATCCTGGTTGTAATTGTTTCGTGCATCCTGGTTGTAATTGTTTCATGCATCCTGGTTGTAATGGTTTCACGCATCCTGGTTGTAATTGGTTCATGCATTCTGGTTGTAATTGTTTCATGCATTCTGGTTGTAATTGGTTCATGCATTCTGGTTGTAATTGTTTCATGCATTCTGGTTGTAATTGGTTCATGCATTCTGGTTGTAATTGGTTCACGCATCCTGGTTGTAATTGGTTCATGCATTCTGGTTGTAATTGTTTCATGCATCCTGGCTGTAATTGGTTTATGCATCCTGGTTGTAATTGGTTCATGCATCCTGGTTGTAATTGTTTCATGCATCCTGGTTGTAATTGTTTCATGCATCCTGGTTGTAATTGTTTCATGCATCCTGGTTGTAATTGGTTCATGCATCCTGGTTGTAATTGGTTCATGCATCCTGGTTGTAATTGGTTCATGCATTCTGGTTGTAATTGTTTCATGCATCCTGGTTGTAATTTTTTCATGCATCCTGGTTGTAATTGTTTCATGCATCCTGGTTGTAATTGGTTCATGCATTCTGGTTGTAATTGTTTCATGCATTCTGGTTGTAATTGGTTCATGCATTCTGGTTGTAATTGGTTCATGCATTCTGGTTGTAATTGTTTCATGCATCCTGGTTGTAATTGGTCAACCCAACCCTTTCTCTCCAGACTCCTCTGTCCGAGCTCAGTGTTCTCGCTGCTTGTTCTCTTGCCTCCTTCTCTCCACCCCTTTCTCTCTCTCCCTTCACCCTTCACCCTCCACACCTCCCCTCCCTGTGGGTGTCCCTCCCCCTTGGCATGGCATGGCGTGGCATGGCATGGCAGGTACGGCATGAGGCTAACGAATGTGTCGTTGCCAGCGGTGCTGCTGAGGGAGGACGACTGGAGGCACCTCGTGCAGCGCGCCCACACTGCCAGGCCGGGCGCCGTCACACTCAGAGGCGCTGAGTCCCGCCTCGAGGAGGCTCTTGCGCTCGCAGTGAGGAAAGCTATAGCGAGGATGGAGGAGGACAGGCGAGCTGCAGGGGGCGAGCGGGGGGATGAGCGAGGGGGCAGAGGGGGGCGAGGGGCGGTGCAGCAGCAGGTGTCAGTAAGGGCGGTGCAGGAGTATGCGAGGCGGCTGGCGCCGCTGGTGGGGGTGGGTCGCGGATTCACGTGCAGCGTGGGGTGGGTGCAGCAGTTCATGCAGCGCTGGGGGTTCCACCCTCCTGGGGGCACTGCAGGAGGCGGTGGTGGGGCGAGGGGGCAAGGGGGCCGGCTGGGTGGGAGGAGAGGGGAGGATGGTCGGACAGAGGATGAACTTGAAGAAGGGGGAGGGGAGGAGGGGGAGGAGAGTGAGGGGCAGGGAGGAGTGAGTGCGAGGATAAGGGGGATACTGGACGAGCGGTGTGAAGTGCGGCAGGAGGAGGTGGCAGCGCTGGTGGCAGTGGCAGAGGAGCAGCGGGAGAGGCGCGCTCAGATCAAGGCGAGTGGGCGCCGGCTGACGGACGTGCGCGAGGAGGAGTGGATAGAGGAGTGGCGGCACGATGGTGCTGGTGGGCGGTGCAGGGCGGCAGGGGATGGGATGGAGAGTGATGGGGGGGATGGGGGCGTGACTGGAGACAGCGATGGCGCCTTGGACGTGACGGACAATGATGGTGCTGGTGGTTTTGACACAGACACTGACCTTGACCTGCCCGCCGCTCATGCCCATACCAACCCCCGTGCTGCTGCCACTGCTAATGCGTTTACTCCTTGTGCCCCTCCTGCCATCACTGCACAACGTGCTGTACATGTTGCTGCTGCTAATGCTGCTGCCACTGCCACTGCCACTGCTGCTACTGCTGCTGCTGCCCCGACGCATGCCCCCATCACCCCGCCACCTCAAGTGAGCACCCTGCTGGCGTCACTGGCCGGCGTGCGGGTGGCATCTGCCGCCCAGGCCGCCCCTCAGCTGCAGTGTGCGTGGGCTGCCCTTGCAGCAGCTACGCCGTTCCCCCGGCAGCTCACAGCGCACCGCGCGGCAGAGGTGGCGCGCGCATGGCGCCGCCTTGAGAGGTCCCGCGTGCTGCTGTGGGAGGGGGGTGCTGGGAGCGAGGGGGGTGCTGGGAGCGAGAGCAATGAGAGCATGAGCGTAGAGGAAATTGGAGGGATGGGCAGCAGCATGGAGGAGTGGGAGTCGAAGGAGGGGATAGTTGGCGCGGTGGCAGGGAGGAGCGCAGGAGGGGGCATGCCTGGTGGCCGAGGGAGGAAGAGGAGGAGGAGCGGGGATGAGCAGGACGGTGTGGTGGCATCACGGGCTGGGGCAGCAGCAGCAGGGAGTGGAGCAGCAGGTGGAGGGCGGTTGGCAGGAGGCGGGCAGGGGTCAGCGGGCATGGCAGCACCGCTGCTGGCCCCGGAGCTCATAGTGGCGGCGGCCCTGCGAGCTGCTCTTGCTCCCCACCCCGTGCCCGCCCACCCCATGCCCGCCCCGCCTGCTGCCCACGCCCTGCGCTTCCCGTTCCCCCACGCTGCGCCACCCGCCACAACCGCACTGCACTCCCTTGCACAGCTGCTTGCATCTGCTGGCTTGCCGTCGGGCCTACTCCCTGTCGCCAGGCCATACGGCCCTGCCTGGGGCCAGCACCTACTCACTGCGCCTCGCCCTTCCTCCCACGTTGCTCCCTCTCTGCCAACGCCACCTCCCCCCCGGTCGCTCACTGCGCTCCTCACTTCAATCACGTCCAACCAACCACCTCCCTTCACCACACCTGCGCCTGCTCCCGCCAATGCCTCTATGGCAGCACGAGCAGCTGCTACTGAACCTGTGCCATCTGCTGTTGCCACCGCAACACCTTTTCCTGCTGCTGCTCCCGTTGCTCCTTCTTCTGCTGTTCTTGCTCACAACGTTTCCACTCCCGCTGCCGCTCCTGCGTCTGCTCCTCCTATTCTTTCTGCTAATTCTTCAGCCCCCAGTACAGCCAGCAGTGCTGCAACTAATCCAGCTTTTGCCACACCTGAGTCTACTGTTGCTGCAATTGATTCCGCTACTTCTGCTGCTCCACTGACCAAAGTTGCTACTGCCACTGCACCTGCTGCTACTGCCACTGTACCTGCTGCTACTGCCACTGTACCTGCTGCTACTGCCACTGCACCTGCTGCCGCTGCAGCAGCGGCAACAGCAACCGATGTCCTGGAGGTCAGTCCTACACCAGCTCTTTCACCTCAAGCTGCCTCTGCGGCTCTTGCTGCTGCCCTCACTGTAACTGATGCTGCTACGGGCAACCATAGATCACCACTTTCAGTTGTACCTGCAGCTACTGCCATTGCACCTGCTGCTGTGGCCACTGCGCTTGCTGCTAGTGTGGCTGCTCCAACAACTGATTCTGCTGTTGGTTCTGACACTCCCTCACAGAAGTCATGAATAGAGTCCAGTCCACTAACCAACTACGCGTATGACTCCAACTTTTCGGAAGACCAAGCTCGTGTCAAAATTATGTATTTGTTAGATGTAGGCTACACTGAGGTGCTCACTAAGGAATACAGCACTTGTAGGGTTTGGTACTTGTACCACCCTTTTGTTAGTTCATTACAATCCACTATGCTACTTTATTTCGACATGGTATCATTGTAGGCCGTTCCTAGGATCCTAGCCCGCCTACCTCCTTAAGACCGTTAGCTCCGTTAGCTTCGCGCCCTCTCCGGCCAGAACGCAACACACAGCGCACACCAGCCAGCCTACCAACCACAACCTACCAGCCAGCCAATTGCCAGTCAGCCAGCCAGTCGCCAGCCAGCCAGAACACCACCAGTTGCCAGCCAGTGAGCGGCCGCAGCTGACAGCGCGCGCCGCCAGCCAGCGAGCGCCCCACCAGCCTTATGCACGCGCGTTGGCAGCTGGTGCATTCGCCGCAGCCTGCGCGCCCTGCCAGCGCGCGAAAGCAGCAGCGTGTATGCACAGCCAGCGCGCAGCAGCAGCAGCCCGCGCGCGCATTTAGAAGCGCGTGCTCTGCCAGTGCACGGCACTAACAGCGCATGCACCTCACCAGCCCACGGCAGCAGCAGCCCGCGCGCGCGCGCTTTGCCAGGAGGACACACGTGCAGCATTCACACGCCCCGCTAGCCAGGGCGCACCCCGCTAGCAGGAGACATGTGCAGCCCTCGCACGCCCCGCTAACCAGCATGCGCCCTGCTAGTACGCCTCCTGCCCACTAAAAGCGCGCACCGCTAGCCACCAAGTCTAGGGTTTAGGGTATATTACTTGGTGGCTGCCAGCTGCTGTTGGGAGTGTCATTGGCGAAGTAGAAGGTGTGAGACGGTAGGCACAGCTGGCTTTCGCCATGGCGTCCGCTAAAGTTCTGCAGCAGCAGCAGCAGGGGCAGCCATAGCAGCAGCAGAAGCATTTCCAGCAATGGGACCTCAGCAGCTTTGGCGCCCTTAGCAGCAGTGGGGGCCTGGTGGTCCGGGGAGCATCGGACGCACCAACGGCCCAAACAGCTACGGGGCTCGTCACAGTAGCCGAAACGTCAGGCCCGGCCAGTATCAGATTCTGGCTGGCCCTGGTGCTGGCACTACTAGCAGGCATCCTGACCACTCGGCATTGCACTGATTCAGTCACCTCGATGACCTCTATCATGAGCGCTTTGGGTCTGACTAGGTTCCCCTGTACATGCATGCTCTGCTTTGCCATGGTTACCAAGTGTTTGGTATGTCCTTCGATGATGCTCGTTCTGTTGTATATATTGTAGGACAAGCACGGGTGCTGGGCCGTGCGGAGAGAGGTTCTTCCTTGTTGTGGATGACTTATCTCACTACACCATGGTGTTTCCCCTGAAGTAGAAAGCTCACGTGCCTGCTGCTCTGATTCCGTGGTTGCTGGCCACTAGCGCCAAGTACGCCCTCCCTGTGCTTTGTCTCAACTCCAGCCGTGAGGTTGATTTCCGCTCTCGTGTTCATGCCAAGTTCTGTTGCGAGCAGCGCATCACGAAGTTCTTCACGCTTCCGGACTCACCGCGGCAAAATGGGGTTGCTGAGCAACATATGCTTGGTCATGAAAAGCGCCCGTACATACACCCTATTTCTATCGCCCTTTGCTTCACTACGCCGCGCACCAGGTGAACCTCTGGCCACATGTTTCACGCCCAGAGGTTTCACCGACCTTTCTCTGGACTGTGTCACCTGGTGTCGCGTCTGCGTTTCATGTCTGAGTGTGAGTTGCACACCTGCATTGACCTTGGTGAGTTGCACAGCTATTTTGGCTTGCAGATCACCAGGGACAGAGCATCACGCACCATCACTCGGACTCAGTCGCACATGGTGCAGCATGTCTTTCAGCAATTCAGCTTCCAGTTCTCCTCCACGCACCCCACTCCCCTTGCTATTGACCACAGGCTCACTGCTCTTGTTCCCAACGAGCCGGTTGAGCCTAGTGGTCGATACGTAGAGCTTGTGGGTTGCTTCATGCACCTGATAACGAGTACTCAACCGGACCTCGCCTTTCCTGTGTTGACGAGAAAAGGCCCCGCCCTCGCATGGGCGAAGACGACTTCATAGCTGGCTAGGCTTCGTGGTCGACACTGACCTGGAGGAACAAGTTGGCTTAGTTGGTCGAGAGAGAGAGAGAGAGGAATAGCCTCTACCCTCTGAGATTGTTAGTTTGGCGGCTGAGATTTTTGCGTGCGTTCGAGAGAGCGAGAGAGAGAGAGAGAGAGAGGAATAGCCTCTACCCTCTGCCCCTAGCCTCTGCCCCCCGCCCCTAGCCTACTTAAGGCTTTTCTAAGGCCATTTCCTCATTGTTAGTTTGGCGGCTGAGATTTTTGCGCTCGCGCCGGCCGCCTTCGGCGGCCGTCGCTCGACGGCGCGGCCTTCGGCCGCGCGTAAAGGGGACGGCAAGCATACACGCAAGGAACCATTAATAGCAAAGAAACATTACACCAATGGCACCACCTACCGCGGCCTAGCCACGTGGTACACTAAATGGAGCTACAGGAGCCCGCGCCTACATGCGGTGAGCTCCAAGGGCATGGAGGATGCCCGTCAGGGAGCGCCACAGCTCCCGGACCACAAGCGTGCTTGCGCGGATCGCCGCGGCTCCGGATCCTGCGTGCAAGTATCTCCGCAGTGCACGGACAGCCTCACCAAGCTGTCCCGCGGCAGCAGCGCCTCCCTCCGCGGGCGCAGCCAGCACGGGCGCCAGCAGCTCCGCGAGCTGGTCAGCTGCGTCGAGGCACGGGTCACGCAGGTGGCTGCGAAAGGACTCGGGCGGGACAGCAGGGAGAGACGAGTGCGCAAGCACTTGAATCAGAAGCAGAGCATGCAGGCCTTCCGCGAGACGGTGAAGCTGACCAAGCGTTGTCTCAGGAACGCGCGTCTGCGGAGGAAGCAGAGCCGCCGCCAGGAACCGGAGGGACTCATCAGCTGCGTACGGAGCCGCAGCCGCGCCACTACCCGCCGCCACGAACTCTACCCCTGCGACAGGCGGAACAGGTGGCAGATGCAGGCGGGAGCCGGTCGCCGGCGCCGCAACAGAAGGAGAAGGAACGGACGGGGCAGGGACAAGAGGAAGAGGAGCAACAGCCGGCGGAGGGGCTACAGGATGCACAGGCGAACGAGGAGCAGCGGGCTCCAGAGCAGCCTGCCGCGAACTGCTCTGGCTCGGCGCTGCCCTCCCCTGACGTACGGGGCGCGACACCTCCCGCGACACCTCGCGCTGGAGGTCCGCCAGCATCACTGGCGGCCGATACCACCCGCCTCCACCGCGCCCCGGGGGGCCCCGCCATCCCCCACTGCCACCTGGATGCGTTGGCCACTGGGCCTGCTGCTGGTAGCACCGGGGGGAGTTCCGCCGGCGCCGAGACGTCTCGCGCTCCTGCTGGGGCGCTGGAGAATGGGGCCGGGACAAGCGGCGGTCAGGCGACGGGGGACAAGACGGCGGAACAACCGGAGCCGCCGGCGGTGGAACGGGAGGAGACTGATCCGCGCTCGGAAGAGCAACCACCGAGGGCGGGCCGCCAGTGGTGGCGGACACCGCAAGCGACGAAGAAGCAGACGCCAGCGCCGGCACGCCGGGGACAGCACCGGCAGGTGCAGCTGGAACGCCAGGCACAGGGACAGGATGAGCGGCGACCTCTCCGGCAGGAGCAGATGCCGCCAGCGGCACGGCAGGAACAGGGAGAACAGGCGGGGCGGGCGCGACAGGCGGAGCGGGAGGAGCAACCATCGGCGCAGACGGCTCAACCCCGTTCACGACAAGAGGACGTGCGGATTCGAGGGGAGGAGTCTTTTCAGCGGCTACTAGGCCGGGCGGCGGAACAGACAGCGGCGGGGAGCCCGTCGCCTCGGTCCTCGCTCCTGAGGCAGACGACGGCCTTTCGAGTACAACCGACGCAGCGCCAGCGCGCATTGGCGAATAATCGGTCACACCAGCAATCACCATCGCGAGGACAGGGAGCACGAGGTGATGGGCGAGCAGCAGTTAGCGGTCGAGGAGGGGGGCCAGAGAATGGCTATCAGAGGGAGGCCAGAAGGGCTTTAACTAGGCTACTTAATGACGAAGAAGAAAATGACCCCTCTTATAGAGAAGAGCCAACCCCATTGAGTGAGGACGAAGGGACAGAAGCAGAGGAAGGGGTAGAGGAGAATGGGAGAAGGACGGGAGCGAGACCAAGGCGGTCCTTAGGAGAGGGAAGGACCACCGCGGCTGGACCGTTCGATGGCAATCGTACGGGCGAAATTCCAACCGCACCATCACAAGGGAGGCCGGGCCGCACCGGGAGAAATCGGGCCGCGATGGCAGCGGCATCGGTGCGAGACAATCCCAATCCCCCGCGCTATTTTACGCCAGAGGAGTTGGCGACGCGAGCAGATCTGTTCGCTGGCGTCGAGAACTGGGATATCCCAGCCCTCTGCGATAGTCGACAACCATCCCTGGCAAGGCGGTTACCGCCCAATTTGTGCCAGTTGTTTTCGCTGGCGCTACTAACCCCGTTACTCAACCTGTCACGAAACCCGGAAGGCGAGGCAGGTTGGCGCCTACTCCTATTTCTGCCACGTCTGACGCTTCGCCAGACCTCGCCACGGAAACCAAACTGGCCCCAGATCAAGGCCCGGCTCCGAGCCTTACAACGTGGCGAGTGGGGTCAACTGTACCAGGATGCGATCGAAGCAGTCAACACTCCCACGCCTCCACGTCACCAGCCCGACGCAACCGGGGTCATCAGCCGGGCCGAGGGCCTGGCGAAACGGGGTAGCCTGCGACGCGCTGTGCTGGCGTTGGAGTCAACGCCAGTCTGCACCCCAACTCCGGAAATTCTGGTGGAGCTTCGACAGAAACACCCGCCAGCCGAATCAGGGGAGACGACGTGGCCACTCTCGCCTGAGTCAAAATTGTCCATCACCCAGGCTGACTTTGCCAAACTGTTGGGGAGGTGTGAAAATGGGATCGGTGCCGGGCCTTCGGGAACGACATTCGAACACATGCGCGACGCGGCAATCACGAATGGACGAGTTAGCACCCATCTGCACGCCTTGGTTAACACCATTTTGGGGGGCAACCTTCCAGCACCGGTGTCGGACCTACTGACAGCTTCACGGCTCATTGCCCTGGCCAAACCTGGTGGGGGGGCTCGACCTATCGCCATCGGCGAATGTATCACGCGGCTGACTGCCAAAGCAGCCCTCGCAGCCATGGGAGAGGCCGCGCGGGCCTTTTTCCTGCCTCTACAGTATGGCGTAGCTGTGCCTGGAGGAGCCGAGGCAGTCATCCACGTGGCACGGGCGTATCTGGACAAGCTTCCCAACAGCCTCGTGCTGCAAACCGACATCTCCAATGCATTCAACAGCATTTCACGGCAAGCTATCGCGACAGCGTTACAAGGACCGGAGTTGTCGCCACTACTGCCACTGGTGAAACTGACATACGGTAACCCGTCGAAATTATTCGTCGACGCAAATTTCGGATCGGACCCACTGATCAGCGAACGGGGCGTGCGCCAAGGGGACCCACTTGGCCCACTACTGTTTGCGGCGGGAATGCACACTGCACTCCGCGACACTGCTGCAGCACACCCCCAGGTGCTGTGTCTGGCTTACGCCGACGACGTCACATTCCTGGGGGAGGCGACGGCTACTGTAGCAGCCTTCA